AGAAGAGTGAAGAGTAGAATCATCAGAGTAAGAATGGATAGAATTAGTCATAGTGTGAAGTAAATTATTGATAAAAAGAAGAAAGAGAGTAGGTGAAAGAATAGAGCCCTGTGGAACACCACTATTGGTAGAGAAAGAGCGAAAGATCAAACCCTCAACAACAACTGCCATGGATCGGTTTTCAAGGAAGCTAGAAATTAGAGAACAAAGTGGGGGAGAGAAACCATAAGAGGGAAGTTTAGAAAGCAAAGACTTGTGCCATACCCTGTCAAATGCTTTGGAGATGACAAAGGCCACGACCAAAGTTTCCTCATAATCCCTAAGAGAGGATCACCAAAGATGGGTGCAGTAGGAGAGCAGATCACCAGTAGATCTCGCCTGGCGAAAGCCATACTGGTGATCCGACATAAGAGAATGGTGTTCAAGGTGATGGAGAAAATTAATTTAAGATAATTTCGAAAATCTTCTTGGGGATGGGCTGAACCAAGGCATGCTTCCAAGAAGAAGGGAAAGTTTGGGTTTTGAGGCAAAGGCGAAAGAGGCGAGCAAGCACAGGGGCTAGAACTTCAGCACACTCCCTCAGAACACGAGGGGGTATTCCATCCGGTCTATGCGCCTTACTCACATCCAACCTGGATAACACACCAGCAACCCTACAAGTGGATATTATAGGAAAGTACATAGGTTCAGTAGGAGGAGTAGGAGGGATTGAGTTGGAATCATCTAAGGTGGAGTTAGAGGGGTATAAGGTGCCAAAGAGTTTGGATTTATCAGGAGGAGAATAGGTTAGATTTAATATAAAAATAACCACTTTTTAACACATTTGCACAAACTATAACGGTGTCCACTATAAAACACAGTGAAATTGCGGCATTTTATAATTGTTTTCTATGAAAAATCGTCCGTAGGTCAATCATCAATAATTACCAATGATTTACTATGATGATACGAACAGCTGTGGAAAAAATTAACAAAATCGAACAACTCCTTCTGGTGGTAGAGCTGTTTTCATAAATTACCATAAGAAGTTGTCACCTCTTAAATATTATAAATACTATAATTAGAAGAACACAGGTGGAAAATTTATGTAATCATTGACGACTAACCTGCCAGTGATTTTGCATAGCAAACGATTAAAAAAAAAGTCACAATTCCAATGTGTTTTATAGAGGACACTGAAGTGGTTTGTGGAATTTTTTTTAAGAATATAACCCAAGCTAACCTAACCTAACTTAGCCTCACCTTAACCTAACCTAACCTTAACATAAAACCTAGCATAACTTAACACCTGCCGCATTACTGCCAAGAAGACAAAGTAGTGCACATCTTAGGCGCCTAAATAAGTATCTACCAAATGAAGCATTTGCACAAGAAATGTTTATCATATCAATACTCATTGATGAAAAAATAGTAAGAAAATAAACACCAAAACAAATAACTTGTTGGTGGGTTAGTCGTTAGTATTAACCAGAAATTAACTTGCTGTTCTCAGAAATTAACCTTTTTTCGGTATTATTTTTATTATTATCACTTTGGTCATCCAGCAAATTTTAAGATTTTAAGTTTTGGAATCAGTAGTTTAGACAATTTTAAGACTCATTTCTTCTGCAAAAGATTACTTCCGAGATTATTACAATAAATTGCTGGAAAATCGTAGTATTTTTTCTAAGTTAATGTTTATGTTATCACTATTCCAAATAGCTCCTGTGTGTTCGTTTGTTGGTTACTATGCTACAGTATGCTTGCGCTAGAGTCTGACGCATGCGCAGTTGTTCTTTGGACGTTGAATGGTGGGTATGATTTTGGACCAACCAATCACAGCTCAGTATAGGCCCCTGCTGCCACCTACTTGAATATGATTTGATTTCCAAGATGTCTCCCTTGTGATTTCAATTACTGTACTTCAAACCATCGACAGATTTCACATAAATTATTACGGTAAAGAAGGAGGTCAATTGAGAATAGTAGCCAGGTTTCGGTTAGGACAGTTAGCACCAGAAACGAAGGTCAGATTCGTTCAAATCACAGCAAGGACCAAAGGAAAAACATATTTTTTATGGAAAAATCGAAACCTGGCTACTATCATAAATTGACCAAGACGGAAAACTGTAGAAATTTCTACACAAACATGGTGTTCTACCTACGGAGGTTACTTGCGTGAAGTGTAACCATCCCTGCAGTTACCAAGCTGAAAAACACTTTTGGTACTGTGGGAAAAGAACGGTTATTCCCATGTCTAGCAAGAGGAAGAAGTGCAATTCTACAGTGTCACACTACAAAAGAACATTTCTCTATGGTGCACATCTGGAGCCATGGAAACTGATCTTATTTGTTAATCATTGGCTCCACAAGGTCTGGGACCCTAACTCAAGAGTCTAATTAAGGTAAGCACGCAAGTGAATAGGTTAGATTTAGGATTAGGTTGAGGGCTAGATTAGGTTTAGGGTTGGGTTAGGTTAGGTTTAGGGTTGGGTTAGGTTAGGTTTAGGGTTGGGTTAGGTTAGGGTTGGGTTAGGTTAGGGTTGGGTTAGGTTTAGGGTTAGGTTAGGTTTAGAATGATTCTGACCTTCATTTCTATCACAAATTACTACTTTTTGTGATTTTCCCCCACCAAAAAACTGATTCCCATTGGGGTTACCCCATTACCGTTGGAGGTAAATATTCGTCCATTGGCTGTCTTCAGGTTTTGGTATGAGAACAGGTTTTTTTTTAATTTTTCAGTGTGTTTAACTCAAATCTGGATAATATTGCAATTTACAGCACCCACACAATTCTGGAAATTCACTACACTTAATCGATAGAACTATTTTTTCTATGATCATTCTCTTATATTACACGGCCGTAGCAAATTAATAATAAGGACGTTATTGAAATTTAAAAAGAATAAAATCAGAGCACCTATTGCCCCTACGCAGTTGCTCAAATTGTGTGTGTTCGTACGTTCGCCTACCTCACGCGGATGTGCCGGGGTACCTCAGCCAGTCAAATGTAGAGGGATGCGGCAGCCAATCAAATCCAATAAAAAATCTCAACACTTGATTCAACCAATTAGCTTTCAATATTCAGCGTGGGTGGTAGGATGCGGGACATTTTTAATCAGTTGCAGCATACAGTCATTATGTGCTGGATGTGATTTTGATTATTGAAAGTTTATTGTATTATTTCATTCTAAAAATAAGTTAACTTTAGAGAACAGAGGAACCCACGACGCATTCTGGTCCCTGACTCAGACTCAGAGTAAGGCAAGAAATACTGTCACGGCTATTTATATTCTCGTGGAGGATGACCACACGACTCTAGGGTTATTACATCGCATTTGGGGGTCCGTGGCTAGGGTCACTGGGGGTACGGGGGTGGAGCCCTGGCTAGGGGGTTGGGTAAGGTTTAGTTTGGTTATATGGTATAAGTTAGCAAGAACAGAGTACCGGGAATTCAGAACAAGCAATCGATAGAACTATTATGAGGGGGGGGGGCTAAATTCAAAACGAGTGATTTCCGATAAAAACAAATGTCAAATTTGAGCCAATTGCATCAAAACCCATCAGAAAAAAAAACTTTTTATCAGATTCTTTGGTTGCTGTAATCTGCAATTTTCCCAAATCTGACATTCATTCTTTTGCAAATTAGCTTTTTTGCAAAAAATTAACATTTTCATTTTTAACAGAAACTGCTAATTTGCACAAAAATGGAGGTCAAATTTGAGTAAAACACACCAAAAATACCCAAAAACCTATTCTCATACCAAAGGAACCAACCAACCTAACTAACCTAACCTACAAGTTGGAAGAAGTAAGGAGGGGACAAGTGAGGAGTATAACCTCAGGTAAACATGGCGGGAACCTGCGGACAGCCAATGGACGCATATTAACCTCGTTGGATAAGTGGGTACCAGCTAAAAAAAGTTGTGAGTTGCAATAGAAATGAAGGTCAGAATCATTCAAAACACCCATAGAAAAAAACCAATTTCAACTTTCAAATAGGTGGATGACCAAAACGATAATTTTACTCTTTTTTCGGTATTATTTTACTTCCGGGCATAACGTTCCCGAAAGCTATAAACTACTGAAACATTTAGATCTCACTATTCTGAGCATTTTGAACCCCATATATACATGGCAGAAATGGATAATAGTGACACAATTGAATTGATTTTCAGTAGTTTTCAGTCTTCGTCTCTGAAGTGATGTTATCAGCGCATCACTCATGCACAATGTTGATTGACGTCATCCAGTCGTGACCAATGAGGTATCAATATCACGCGAATTTTTTTCGACCAATCACATTTGATTTTTTTCAAAGGAAGCATCCTGGGTACGATTTTAATTTCATTGAAATAGTTTCACAATGGCCGTGGTGGAGGTTGGTTGTTGTTTGTGCTCCTACGATCATTTTGTTTATTGTCAAGTTTTACGAGAAAGGCGATTAATTTATCCAATTCTTACGTATCCCTGGTCCTTCCACCTCTAACTAAGGTATTGTACTTTTGGACATGGTGAGCCCCAAAGTTTTTAACAACTGAAACATTTAGGTTAGTTTAAGCTAGGCCTACCGGGGCGCTAGGGATCAGGTTAGGCCTAACGGAGGCCAGAGGGCAGAGCCCCTGGCTAGGAGTTAGGTTAGGTTTTGTTAGGTCAGATGACTCGTTTTCGTTTTCTCACTCACCCAAAAACCCGATTTCGCAAGCTCTCCCCCATTATTATTAGGTAAAGGAGTGGACAAAACTATTAATTTCTGCCAAAATTTAAGGTCAGATTCGTTTAAAACACACCAAATTACAGTGGAAAACATGTCGGTCAACCCCTAGGGACTCATGTCCTAAAGTAAAAATTTACCCTTTTTTCTTACCCTTATTTAGAAACACTCAAAAGTGCAATAAGACAGAAAACATCATTGTACCATCACTTAATTAGGTGACAGGTTTCCCCACTCAGACTTAAGATTTATTTAGTTTATCTATTGTCATCTAGACTCAACAGCATCAAAATCAACTTAGTTTCTACCTTTCTCTTCAGCTCCTGGTTCATGGTGTCTTCCACAGTGTTTCCCTAATAAATATATACAACTAACTAATCCGGATTCTTCATCTTGGCACTAAGTAATAGCTTAAAGAACAGTCTCACTGGTCCCAGGTTGCTAATCTGTCTTTCTGCCACATTTACACACAATTGCAGGGTCTCAATTGTCTCTCTTTCTATTGACAACACAACATATATAACAGTACTCACTCTTGATCTGTTCGATTCTTTCTCTTCTTTTATTCTATGGTGTCAGTTGACAATAATACTGAGGCGGCGGGGCCTTCTCGGGTAGGTCACAAGAACGGCAGAATCGACCCAGAGGAATGTGAGTTCAGTATTGCTGGATATGGCTCATTTACGAACCTTTCTCAAGAAACTTGCAAGAGGGGTGTGGTTATCTACGTTAGGCAAGACCTTAGAGCCAGCCAGGCGAGGGTGTAGTAGATTCCTCCCCTACAAACGCTATTTGTCGCCCCCGTGAATTCCCAGTGTATGCCTCGTGGTCTAGGTCAACCAGCGCCGCCTTACATGACGGAGGTCAACTATTAAGCCACGCATACCTCTGCTATATAAGACCTGACCTCGTGGTGACCTACCCCTCTTTCTACCTACACCAACCAGCAAGCAACACCTCCACCCTCGCTCCCGCCGGCGACCATGGCGACCCACAAGCTGGTCCTCCTCTGAGCACCCTCACCAACCAGCTCTCTCTATTCAACGCTTGTAACCATGCTGCCTTCCCAGCACCAAGCTGCATTGTACATCCAATACAACATGTATACAGAGAGCACATTGTGAGTTTCCTTTCTCCATCCCATCCTGAGTGTGAACCAAATAACCCATACCCCACAAATGGTGACCCCCGGAGATTCGCACTCACACAGGATGGAGGAGAAACATCTCGCGAACCCCACAAGGGTACAGGGAGAGGGTGTTTTTGAAGAGTCCAAGTGGTGTATCTACAGATCCCCAAACTGTGGCCCACTAAATCAAAAGAACTTAAGAACCTTAATAAACAACGCGGCGATGCTCAACCCTAGCCACCTCCTTATCATGGGGGACTTTAACTATGGCGACATCGACTGCAGAAACGAGTCCACCCCGAATGACTTGAATAACCCTGCTACTCTTTTTGTAGAAACTCTGAGAGATAATTTTCTGTTCCAACATGTTAGAGACCCGACACATTACAGAGGGGAGCAAACACCCAAGCCACTTGACCTCATCATAACAAATGAGGAGGGTATGGTGGCCAAACTGGAACACCTTGCCCCAGTTGGCACCAGTCACCATATAGTGTTGTCATTCGGATTTAACTGTCACCTAGTTCAGGATAAGGACACGCCAAGGTGCAAATACTACAAGGGAAATTACAATGGGGTGAGGGAAGAGATGAGGGGTATCAACTGGCCTGACTTATTAAGGTACAAGAACGCAGACACTACGCTGAATATCATAACTAGTAAAATGACCCATTTGATCGATAAATATATACCCAAGACCAAACCCAGTGCTTCTAGGAATACGAGGGGATCCCTACACTTGAACCATACGGCGGTCGACAAAATTAAGAAGAAAACCTCCTCCATACAAATGTTTGCCGATGACACCGAGTTATTTCGGGAAATCAAGAACCAAGCGGACTGTGAAGAGCTGCAGAAGGACCTCTGTGGGCTCCAAGAATGATCGAAGAAATGGCTGCTGAGATTCAATGTCACGAAGTGTAAGAGGATGCACCTGGGGCATACCAACGGTAAGGAGGCTTATCATATGTCCCAACGGGATGAAGAAACTGCACTAGTTGAGACTGAATGTGAGATGGACCTAGGTGTGTATGTTGACAATGAGCTGAAGTTCTTGGGCTATTGCGAGAAGAAGGTAAATCAGGCAAATAAATTATTGGGTCTTATAAGAAGGTCGTTCAGATATCTAGACGGTCCGTCCCTCGTAACGATCTACAAGAGTGAAGTGCCTCCCCATCTGGAGTACTGTCACCCCGCCTGGTCCCCAAGATATGCTAGGGACTGTCAGTTGGTTGAAAATGTTCAAAGGAGAGCCACCAGACTGTGGTGCCTGCACTTCGGCACCTCAGCTACCCTGAGAGATTGGAGCGCCTGAACTCAGTCGAGTGTCCTTACTTGGAGCTCGCGGACGTTCACCCCACAAGGGGTCACAGCTCAAGATTGAAGAAGCTGCAAGTCCAGAAAACTGTGAGGGCAAACTTTTTCTGAGTGAGAGCTGTGAACTCTTGGAACAATCTACCAGAAAGTGTTGTGACGGCACTGAGTGTGAGCTCTTTCAAGATCAAACTTGACCAACACTGGAGCGGGTTCAGGTACAATCAGGAGCCAGTGCATGACCAGTACTTGCCAACAGTGTGTAACAGAGACGTGGCTGATCGCCCAAGCGGCTAACGAGCTAATCAGTGGTGAAGAGGATAAAAGTAAAAGTAAAAAAGTGAACGCTTACCACCAACCCCCACTCTTGGACGTGGTCAGTTTCGGAGTGGCGTGCCCCCCGAACTGGGGTCCGCACTTGCTGGGGGAGGATACATCCTAAGCTATCTGGGTGGTGGGTGTCGTGTGATGACCCGGAGAAGGTGGTGAATGTGGTTTGTTTGGGTCTTTCGGGTTAGAGTGGCCGCTGGTGTTGTGTGTTCTTCTTGGAAGTTTCGAATTCTGTTTCGGAGATTTTGTGTGACTTCGCAGTCGAGGAGATAGTGTTCCAGTATACTGCCCGATTCTGGGGTCACTAATTCTAAGGGGATAACTTAACTCTACTCTTAATTTTAAGGTCGCTGCCACCAGCCCCCTGGACAGTATGTAGCTCGTTAGGTAGCAGGCAGAGTAAGCTAGGCAATGGGTTGGGTTTTTCAATGACCAAATCGAGAGTGGGAAGAAGGGTGAAACATCAATGATGACTTAACTAATTTATTCCTTATAAAAACATATTGCATCTAATCACAATTCAAAAAGAGTTGGCCTTCATTAGAAGAACCACTATTATGTTCATTACGCTTCACATCAATAAACATCCTTCATCAAATAACTACTATTATCATCTTCATTCTTCATAACAACCAATGTTACCTCGGTCATTCCTTCTTACCATAACACCCAACACATCAGACTGCACCACATGTTATATCATAGCACCACATCCGGGTACACTCCACACCTACAAGTATGGAACTCCTCGGTATTCTTAGGTACATATAGGCTACCAGGTACCTCGTTCACACTCTACTCTTGCCGAGTAGATGGGATACTTCCCAGGTAATCATACCAGTACTGGTTCCACGCCTGGTATTCTTAGGTCGCTCCACGTGGCGACCGCGAAACTTCAAACACACAATTATGTTCTCCTATCCTAGGTGGTGATATGTAGGGTATCCACAGATTCACAGTGGAGGTGCATAATGGCCATAAGCAGACACACCACACCCGGTGAGTCCTTCACAGTGGTGGTGGCTTGGCCGACGCGTGCGCACCTGTTTTGGTGAGAGAGCTGGCATCACTGAGCAAGACCTGATAAGCTTTTGTCACCATGCATCAGTGCAACTATTACTTCACTTTATAACATCAGGCAAGGTTTTAAGATGTAAAAAAAACTGCTAGATAAGTCTTTTTAGGGCCGAATGGAGCACGATGGAGTTCACTGACCAGTTTTGGTGAGAGACGTGGCGTTACTAAGGTCGGTGCCTCATGTCTCTCACAGTTTCCAATCTTTAATTTTCACTTTGATATTATTTTGGTTCTCACATATACACTTTTCTATCTATTACGACCTTATGCCTTAATATATATCTTAATCCTAAATTACATATTAAAGTAAGGGTCTGGTTTGCTAGTTCCTGGGGAAATTAATTGGGCTGTAGTGGACGTCTCCCCTACAACTGCGTATCGCACACCAGATGCCACCTGCTGCGACTTCCCTAGCAACCAAACTAGCGGCCCAAGGGGGGGGCGGCGTCACCAGATGCCACCGTATCCTAGCAACCGAGCCAAAAGACCGACTACTTCTCGGGTTTTCCCACCATGACTCACAGATGACTCACGGCTGCTGTGTATATAAGCTCTGTCTCTCCATTGAGATTCATTCTGGCCTATCTTTCTGAACACGCAACACCTCCTCCTCCGCTGCTGCCTGGCGGCCCTTGCTTCTCCTCCGCCTGCCTGGCGGTCCTCACTCCCGCCAGCGAGCATGGCGACCCACCAGCTGTCCTTCTCTGAGCTTCCTCACCAACCAGCTCTCATTCTGCTCTCGGTTCCTTTAACACGCAACACCTCCTCCAAGCAAGCTCCTAGCTGTCCCGTTCTCATTCAACCTGGAGGCCAGCAACAGGCAACATCTTCTCTAACGAAGCTCCTGCACATCTACCTCCTTCAACACGCTACTCACCGAACGTGTCTACTGAGCAGCTCCTCACCACACGGCACCTCCAGCACCAGACTGTCTATCATATAACTTATATCATACAAGAAAACCACCTTAGAGTTTCCATCCATCCTGAGTGCTAGACAACATTATTGAATCGGCTGCTTGTCCAATTAACCAGTCCGTTCACACATATTTATATTTGGGTTTTAAGTAACGAAACCCAAACGGTAGTTCCTTTGTTTTATTATAAAAGGTTGTAGATATAATTCCTGAGTGTATATCAACCGTAAGTCTCACTGTCTAGGAGTGAATGAGAAAGGGACGGCGTTTATGTATGATAAACGTTAGGTCACGTCCTTACGATATGAGTTGAGGTGAGCTACTGAAGCTTAGGGGCATCGCAGTGCGTGCTTACAGAAATGCTGAGCTATGGGTCTCGCCCTCTTGGGTAAGTTGCCCGCTCACGTGTCATCTCATGTCTTACTCATAGACAGTGGAAAGTTACAGGGTGGTGAATCTGAATATAATATCAGATGTATTGACCCATTTATATAATACGTTCTGTTGATGAGACAGGGGCCTATTACATCGCTCGGTCACCTACCAGCCGAGCTCCGTGAGGCCTAAATAACTCACAGAGTACAGTACATCCTAGACAACCCTAACCATGTTATAAACAGATATGTAGACACTAAGCTGGGGAAATTACTGTAGGGGTATTCTCTACTACAGGGGACCTAGACTTTTGTGTCGTACGGGTTAGTATGTTATGAACAATGTTGAATTTGGATGATACTGCCCAGTAATAACAGAACAGGAACATTATTGCCAGAATTAACAGAATAGAGGGAATCGTAAGACTTGGTAGTGCAAATTCCCGTGACAGGTAAAATGGCAAGTTATTATTCAAATCAGCAAAATGTGTCTCGTTCAAGAAAGCTAACACTTTTAATTTCTCTGATACTATTTGAATATCCTTGATAGTGAAATTCATTATAGGAAGTGGAATTAAAGCAGACTTGAGTTTTCGATTTAACGCAAAATGCTGATGAGTAGGCAAGGTCCGTAATGTACTACAAGTGATTTCACAGTAATCAGGAGCCTTGTAATGCCCTTTCACAACTAGCTGCTTAACACCATTTTGGCATTTTAAAATTACAGTAGTGAGATTTGGAAAGAACAAATACTGCACATTGTGAAGGTGAGCATGGAACACAGTCTTTAGACTAACTGGCCTATAACTGCATTGCGCTAACGCTGTGCGTACATTTGGTTGTATGACTGCCAATTCACATATTCCATCTGCAGCAGGAATAAATGCAAACAATGTAGGCTGGACATACGTGTAGGTGTAGATAAGACGACTTACACCGTGACAGTACCTCAGAATCCTCTATTGATAACAATGAATATTCTTCATCTACTAAGAAAAGTTCTTTAGGCCTATCTAGGGTATACAGTGTGTCGTTCACAAACCAGGGGAAGGGTTCTAAATGCCATGCATTAAACTCATGTTGCCCTCGCATAGGAATGTGGATCAGAATTGCATTGTGCGTGAGGGTTGACTCCAACAGCGGGTAATAATAGTGAACCTCATTGTCATTGAAAATAGGAGTTAAATGATACTGCAACTTGGCTATTTTTAAAGCTTCAAGAAGCGTCTGCACAGGCACAAGCTTCGCGTCCACACGTCCTATCCCGGCATCTACAATGCTGTCTATTAGTTCATTTTTAGAGGTTACAATTTTATGAACTGAAATTTCAGCAGCATGCAAATATTCTGTGAAGTAAAGGAGCCATTCTAACGTCGGGATTGCTTTCTGTAACCTAGTAACAATCCTCGAAACTTGGTTAGACTCCATTATGATTGCATTAACCTTTGATTCTAGAGCAGTAATCGCGTGAAAGGTTTGAGAAATAACGCGATTCTGTTGAGATACAGCCTGAACGACAACGTTCATTCGGTCCCCCAATTTAGCTACATTATCGGCCGTTGCCGTGCCAAACAAAGCGCTTTGGATAAGACCCACAAAATTAAAGAGACCCCTTTTTCGTCGTGCCTGAGAATGCACTTCTTGAGCAAGATCCGCTTGAGATGCAGGTAGATTTTTCCCCACAACAACTAGAAACTCGCGAAGGTTCTGGAGACGAAAGTGTAGAAGGTCTATAGTTTGTGAAACTATTGTCGAATTCTTCGAAGCTGTGCTGAGACCATGAAGAATGTCCAATGCTGATTGTAGTTGGCCGTCGACGTTTTCCATCTGACGCGAAAGTACGAGTTAACTTCTACTAGCAGAACGTAGTTTCATACAATAGTCATTTGGGACATTTTGCTTCTGAACAGTCTGTAAGGATGTATCAATCACATTATCATCAACTTGAGGTAAGACATTTATCTGGGTCTTCTTCAGACGATCCGCGTGCACGACATCTGCGATCTGTGCATTAGGCTTCCATATTTTGAATTTGTTGCCTGCTTCTTTTGAGATTATGCGGAATGGACCAGAAAATTTCGCCGAAAGTTTGGAGTTCCTTTCAGGTTTCTGTAACATAACAGCGTTCCCAACGTTCAGTGCGATAGGTTTAGCATGTTTATGCTGTTTGATGATCATTTCGGCGCGTGACGCCGCTAGCTGTGATCGTACTTGGTCATGAATTTCTGTAAAGACATGAATTTGTTTTGCCGCAAAATCATCCGTATTATATACCAGGTATGGCGCCTCTGTAAGGATGTCGTAAGGCAGACGTTTATCTGTGCCATAGACAATATAGTAGGGTGTTTTGCCCGTAGAGCTATTAACTGACCCATTAATCGACGCTGCAACCTGCGGTAACCAATCCTCCCATGCGTATTGAAAACCACTAACAATTGGACGCAGTATTTCTAGGATTTTACGATTGGTTCTTTCAACAAGGCCATTAGCCTGTGGATGATAAGCTGTCACAAAAGTTTGTTTAATTCCATATTGTGCACATATATGCTCTATTAGCTCATTCTTGAACTCTGTTCCATTATCAGAGAGTAGAACTTTAGGCGTAGTATATGGACATATGAGATTCATCACTAATGCATAGGCTACTGCTTCGGCCGTTTTGCTTTTTAGTGGGACCAAGACCACGAACCTGGAAAAATGATCCACACACACTAAGACGTATCCTGATCCCTGATGACTCATTGGGAGTTGTAACACATCAACAGCGACTGTGTCAAACGGACGGTCTGGTGTAGGATATTGTAGAATCGGGGCAGGTGATCCTGTCGATCTTTTATGTTGAGCACATGCCAAACAATTAGCTATGTGTAATTCTATGTCTTTCTTCATAGTGTTCCAGAAATACTTCTTTCGTAAATCCGCTAAGCATTTATCACGACCTTGGTGACCTGCTTGTGGGACATCGTGGAACAATGTCATTACTGCTTTGCGCAACGTGTCAGGTACGACTATTTGAGACACATTACCCTCAGGAGATTTTCTCGTCCTATTGAGTATGTTATGTCGTAATTCAAACTGACTTAAGGGAAGAAATAACTTGGGGAGTTTAACATCCTCGCCCGATTCGAGAGCAAAAATAACAGCTGACCAATATGGGTCGCGTCGTTGCTCATCTTCCAGCTGCGAAAGAGTGAATGTTGATACAGGCATGACTGGTGCTATATTTCTTGACAGAGCGTCGGCGACAACATTCGCCCTCCCAGGTAAATACCTAAATTCGGGGTCAAACTCTTGAATTGTCAGATACCAGCGAGCTAATCTGCCTGATAAGTTTCTGCCATGGAACAGTTCGGTGACTGCCGCATGATCAGTAAAAACAGTTATCTTGTAGCCAAAGATAATGTCTTTGAACTTCTTAAGTGCCCACACAACGGCTAACGTTTCTAAATGCGTCGCCGAATAACGTGTTTCAGCATCGATTAGTTTGCGACTTGCAAATGCTATCACTCTAAACTTCCCACGCGTGTCCTCTTGCATGAGCACTGCTCCGACTCCAATTCCGGGAGCGTCAGTACAGAGAGTGAAAGGTTGAGTGTAGTCTGGGAATGCTAGAACCGGGGCATTGGTTAGCGCTGTCTTCAATGCCATAAAACTTTCCTCGTGTTCAGCATCCTATATAAACACTGCATCTTTTTTGAGCAACCTCGTTCGGGGCAATGCTAATGTTGCATAGTCCTTGATAAAGGAACGATTATAACCAGATAATCCGAGAAGGCTACGCACATGATCATTTGAGGTAAGACGCGGGAACTGAGATACAGCTTTGACTTTATCATTAACTGTGTGTATGCCCTCACCGTCGACTACAAGACCAAGGAAATGGATTCTGGAATTTAATAACTCGCACTTTGAGAGTTTTATTTTGAGTCCTGCTGTGGAAAGTTTGGCCAAAACTTCACGCAGTTTTATCAGATGGGAATCGACGTCCTTACTGACTACTATTAGATCATCCAAATAAGCGCAGACTGTGTTACCAATTAGTCCGGCAAACAGGGTGTTGATCATTCTTTGAAATGTTAGTGGGGCATTTCTGAGACCAAATGGCATTCGTAGAAACTCAAAGTGGCCTAGAGGCGTGCTAAATGCCGTGATTTCTCGTGATTTTTCATCGAGTGGTATTTGCCAATACCCACTAAGCAAATCTAAGTTGCTAAATACCGCATTATCCTTGCCTAAGGATTGCAATATGTCACTCAAGATAGGCATTGGGTACCTATCAGGGATTGTTTGATTATTTACGCGCCTGAAATCTATGACAGGGCGCCATCCACCATCCTTTTTCGGGACGAGGAATAATGGGCTGTTAAAGGGGGATTTTGAGTGTCTAATGACATTCTCATCTAACATACCCTGTACCATATCTTGCACTACAGCGCGCTGGCTATGAGGTAGTCTATAAGCTGGTATGTAAATAGGGTTGGTTCCTTCCTTTAACGCTATATGATGGGATGTTAAATCTGTCTGACCTAGCGTTTCCCCTGGCAAGGCTACTATCTGTAGTCGGCAAGCAGCTCTAACAGGGAGGTAGAGCGGGTGGAGGGTGTACCGCTGCCTCCTGGCTCTGTGTTGGCGCTCTTGCTTCCACTGCCCTCCCCTTGGATATAACCCATGTAGGAACTGTTTTTTTTTTTTTTTACCATATTCACCACTTACCAGCTTACTAGCCATTCGAGCAGTTGGTCTATCCAGCTTCAACAAGGATTAAGAAAGAGTATATTCAGCAGATGTTTAAATGCATATACAGCAAATAATTTTACAAACAAAAAACAGTATTCATATTATTAAATTTAAACTTAACAGGAAATAATGTTATTTCCAACAATGAAATCTGTATATTAACTTAAAATATTTGATGAAATACCCCTCATAACAGATAAATTACAATACTTTCAAGATTATTTATTTTTAATGAAGCTACTGTACTGAGTATAAATGGAAAACTTATTTGCCTTTTCAGATTGAACTAAATACGGTACCTGTACTTCCATAACTACCTGACATCCATTCTCTATACCCGAATCTCTAACTTATAGCAATGCACAGTACAGTACAGTAGACCCTTGCCATACGGGGGTTTGCAATTTGCGATTTCGACGATTCGCTGTAAGCAGATGGTGGCTAGCTTACGAGCCTTTTCCCACAGCGCAATGAGTCACCCCACACGCCTGCAACGTCTCCTCTCCCTCTGTTGGCACTCAACCATGTGTGGTATATAAGGAAGAATAAACAAGCAATTCGTGATTCTGTTCAAGCGAGTGCTCCTGCAAGTGCTAAAGTGGCGCAGGTTGTTTGAAACAAGAACACAGTAAAAAGAGAAAAAGCACTGAACATTTGGATTGAGGACCAGCACCGCAAAAATGTTCTGATCGACAGTAACGTGATTCGTGAGAAGGCTTAGAGTCTTTATGCCCATTTTTATGAGTCAACAGGTGGTGAAGGGGATAATGAAGCTACTGAACCAACTTTTAGTGCCAGTAAAGGGTGGTTCGAGAATTTTAAGATAAAATTCTCTCTCTATAATGTGAAGCTGACTGGGGAGGCCGCATCAGCTGACCACACAGCCACAGATGCATTTCCTGCCAAGTTAAAGAAAATAAAAGAAGAGAAAGGCTATAGAGCAGAGCAAGTGTTTAATGCCGACGAATCCGGTCTATATTGGAATAAGATGCCAGGTAGAACGTACATAAACAAGCAGGAGAGGCAGCTGGTCACATGATCAAACCTGGCTTGCTTTACCGCTTAGCAAACCCTAGGGCTTCAAAGGGTAAAAACAAGAACTTTTTGCCAGTCCAACAAAAAGGCATGGGTAACTGTGTAAGCATTCCTGGAATAGTTCCATAAATGCTTCGTCCCAGAAGTAGAAAAGTACCTTGCTTCCAAGAAGATGGAATTCAAGACCACCCAGAAAATTTGCAGTTTAGCCATCCAGGAGTAGAGGTGGTGTTCCTACCCCCTAACACCACTGCTCTTATTCAGCCTCTTAATCAGGGTGTAATACGTACCTCCAAGGCATATTACATCTGACGCTCTTTTGGTCGTAACCGTAGTGCCATGGACGCAGACCCTGACCTTGATGTTAGCAAGTGTTGGAAGGAGTACAGCATTGCAGACTGCATTACCAACATCAGTGAAGCATTCAATGAACTCAAACCTGAGACTGTGAATGTTGTTGGCAAACCTTATGGCCTGAGTGTGTGAATAACTTCCAGGGATTTCCATCCATAGTAAAGGATGCGAATGACATTGCAAGTGATGCACATCAATTGGGTGGTGAGGGGTTTGTGGACATGGCTGCTGAAGACATGGCAGAGCTGACTGATGAGCATGGAGAGGAACTGACAGAAGAGGATTTGGAAGAGTTGGTAAAAAGTACTGAGGAAGATGAAGAAGAAATTATGGAAATGCAACAAAAAGGTTGAGGCTTGAACAATTTTGACATGTGAAGGTGGTAACTGATTTCATTGTTGACCACGACCCTTCCATGGAACGGAGCCTTAAGAAGGTCCAAGAAATCAACTAGGTATTGTTTCTCTACCATGATATGTCTAAAGACCTCAAAGTCAAGAAGAAACAACTACCAATCACGATGTTTTTAAAAAAAGAACCACCCGCTTGCCCAGCTAATTTGTCTCCCTCCCTCACTCACTCCGCTGTTACTGTCACGGCTCCAACCTCGTCCTCCCAGCCGCGCACCTCTCCACTAACCACCAGTGCATCACCCTCTTCCAACAGTGATCCTGATGATCCCCCCTATACTTCAGTAACCAGATGCCTCCCTATGTACAGTACACCACTTCATCAAGCTCCAAACTTCCACATACGAATGTAAGTACTATTGGTGACTTAGGTTTTTTTTATACACAGAATAGGTATACAGTAGTGCTATTCGCGGTTTTGCCAATTCACGCCATTCCTTGGAACCAGACCCTCACGAATAGCAAGGGTTTACTGTACTACATTTTTTAACAATACAGGCCTGAGTACACAATAAATGTATTACACAGTGTACAGTATTTTGAAAAATAATCTTGGGAAATGCTAACAAACATGAAATAGTTGGCATGAAAAACAGCGATACCACACAAAAACTAAACTTAGGTCGAGGTGTGTAGGCATCCCTGCACTGCAAGAACCCTAAAGTGGGGTTCTATCTATCATACCCCTGTACCACAGCAGCCTTATTTTAATATATCCAATATCCTTTCACCACTTATCAGCTCAATAGCCATTTTGGCAGATGGTCTACTTTTTGTGATGACCTAAAATTTTCAGTGTTAGTATAGTACAGGAGGAAACTAGAGTACCCGAGAAAACCTGTGTGTTTGGAGCCAGGACTCAAACCCATGACATAGTAATGAGGTATGTGCATTATCGCTGTATTTTATCACCACACCCCTTTTTCTAAAGATATCCTTTTATCACGGAAACCTTTGTGTAGGATTCAATATCAAGCCTTTAATTATGGGGTTCTATGTCATTCAATCTGTCCCCTACATAACACTAGGTTTCAATAAATGTTATCTCACCTATACAGTACTCTATGTAAGGCTATCAATCCCTTATGAAAATAACATTTGCCACAGTAAAATAATCATAAGATTTTGCTAATTCCTTTCTTGTACACATATTTTAACACTCCTCACTCACTCTAACATTTGGAGTAGAGAATAACAATATTCCTTACCACCTTCCAGTGACTAGAGTACCAAGTTTTGTTCATAGACACAGATAATGAGAAGGGTGAAAGAGGACATTCCTGTGAATTGGTGAAAAAGAGATATCAAAGGTGTATTTGAGTTAACACAACTCTGAGAAAACTAATTCTTAAAGATACAAGTTAAATATTTTTAAACAACCATAATTTTTACTAAATAATTCTATTATCTTTTAGTTGCCCTACTTAACTAATGACCTACATGATTCCTTCAGGTGTGAATATCTCTTCAAGAATTCACCTGTGAAAATTTAGATACAGTTCATTATTTAACTGTATGATACCTCTTTCTTTATGATTAATGAACCCTGTTGACAGGGTCACTGGGAGTACAGTATTTTGGATCACAGAGTTAATAGGTTGTAATATACAACCATCACTACTTTGCATTTGTAGGCATTGCATGTAAAAATTCAAACAATTATACAAAAATGATGATGAGTGATGTAAAAATGAAATGAAAGTATGTAAATTAATCATGGCTTTTTACAATAAAATACAAAATAGAAAAGGACAAGTTATATTGTGCAAGAACCTGCTGAGATAAGTACCTTTTTTATAACTAAAAAGGTATATCTGCCTTTGAGCTCTGTACATTTCTGCTACTCAATAGCTTTTGATGTATGGATTACTGTTTTGCTTTCATAAATGCCTTTGACTCTCAGGTTCTTGGGATCGAACGGCGGGCGGATGTGGACAGTGGCATTAAGACTCTTCCCCATAGATTCCAGCTGCCATGTTCCAGTTTTGAGGAAGTCATTGGTTACTTTCTCCCCACTGGGCCTTTGTACATAGCCATATGCAATGGCCTGACCTAGTGTGAAAGCAAACTCTGCTCGGCGGATATGACCCACTGGTTCTCCATCACGCCAGATACCCTCTAGGCCCCACAGAGGCTGTGAAGGGTCATCCAAGGTAAAGGTTACCAATTTCTTGGAAATTCCTTTGCTCTTCTGCAGCTCCAAGGCTTCCCGGCCCAAGAACTGTGTGTCCGTTTTGAGCTTGCAAGTGAAGGCAAGACCAGCCTCAAGAGGAGTATCATCAGGACGGACATCAGCATGCCAGTGGCGGTAACCTTTCTCACAAGACAAAGAGTCGATGGCTCGGTATCCAGCATTGACTAGGCCCAGTGGTTTCCCAGCAGCCATCACTGCCTCATAGACTGCAACAGCTGAGGCATTAGGAATGTGCAGCTCCCAGCCTGTCAAAGATACATTATGTATATTAATATGTGGAACATATCAAGTGAAAAGCACATACAAAGGCATCAAATTGCCATAAATGTGCTTTTTTAGTAAGAATGACATTTTGTAATGTGGTGAATAAATTATAGTATAGTACAATAAAGCCTCGAATGACGACGGTAATGTGTCCTCCAATAATGCAGTGTAAGGTGAATCATCGTATTGTGAATCAATAATTACCATTAAAATAAAGCCATAATAATGAGATGCATTCCAAAGTCTGACCTTTTCATATGTTTTGTGTTACTTTTTACCCTCTTTTCCCACAAAACAATAAAATTAATGAAAAATTCATACTATATTCTTTATATAATGTTTATGAATGCACCTTATACAAAATAAATCAGTAATAATATGGTCACAAAGAGGAGATGGGACACCATTGTTTTCGTTAGTGTTTACACCCGGGACGATGGTTCGACATAAGAAACTGAAGAAAATAAGACCCTGGTTGTAGCTGTAGTAAAATTAATGTAAATTTTTTTATACAGTATACATGTTTTAAGTAACGTTATTTAATGTTAATAAATGGAACAATAGAAGTAGCTAACCACTAATGGCAAAGAAAAAGGTCAGCGTATACATGTGCGCACTCAAGGAAAGTGTCATTTATCTTATTAAGAATATGTACAAAAAGATTCATTATTGTTTATTACTGAATATGTATTTGATTGAATTAATGCTTATACAGTACAGTATATATGCAAAATGAAAAATACAATTCATAAATAATACGTAAAAAATTAAAACACACAAGAGGAGACGAGACGGCATTGTTTTTGAAGAGTTTACACCCGTGACAATGGTTCTACATATGAAACTGAAGAAAATAAGACCCTGGTTATAGCTGGAGTAAGATTAATGTAAAAAATTAATATATATGTTTTAAGTAATGTTATTTAATGTTAATAAATGGAACAATAGAAGTAGCTAGCCATTAATGTTAAAGAAATAAAACGAGACAGATTGGGAACACCAACGTATGTAATTGCAAACATGTGAAAATATATCGTCATTTCTCTACATAAGAATTTGAAAGCAACACTTATTACTGTTCATATATGTTTTAAATAATACTTATGAATGTAAAACAAATACAGTAGTACCCCGCTTAATGCGGTCAATAAAACCCACAGGGTACCGTGTTAAGTGAAAACCGCGCTAAGTGAACAACAGAACATATGGGATTAATTCCAATAGAAACTGGCCTGATCCCCAAACTCCACTTTTTCCGACACAATACAGTGGGGTATGCTATAACGAACGTAATTGGTTCCAGAACCTCGTTCGTTATAGCATTCGTTCGTTATAGGATTAATCCGTTCCAGGCCCCCAAATACAACCGCTTAACACTGAAAAAATTCTGTGGAAAATGTAAAAAATACAGTACTCTATCTTACCTTAGTATTATTCAGCATGCAGGTACCCCTAAACACTGGCACATCACTATCACTTCCACTGGCAGTCTTGGCTTTAAGGTCCTCAAACAATTGTCTGGCCTTCTCACAAATTATAGCTTCACTAATGTTACCACCTGCCATTTCTTTCTCCTTTATCCACACTAAGAGTAAATTTTCCATCTCTTCAATCACATTACACCTTGCTTTGCTAAGTCTAAAGATTCCCTTAGCCACTTGCACAGTTTTTAACTCCTCTTTATTCTTCAAAATCGTACATATAGTTGATTTAGCCATCCCATATTCATCATTAAGTTTCGCAATGCTCCTTCCATTCTCACGTTTCTTTATAATTTCTTTCTTAGTTTCAAGGGTTATTAGCTTTCTCACTCGCTTTGGACAACTCATTGTTACAATTGTATACTTGTATAACAAAATACTGTAGTTATACAAATAACGCGAATTTCCACATCAAAAGACGAAATTTCAACAATAACAGTGGTGCACTGGCTACACAATGAGACAAAGATGGCGCCTGACGCTCTTGTTGTGGGTCGCGGTACAACAATATTCATGCGCCAGGCGAAATAGTCCCGTATTCATCCGCGTTCGTTGTAGGAGTTGCGTTCGTTATAGCATTCTCAATTTTATAGGTAAAACCGTTCGTTATAGGAATATTCGAAGTAGGATCCGTTCGTTATAGCATACCCCACTGTACCTATGTTCTAGTAAAAATAACATCTTAATTTTATGATGGTACATGCACACAATTAATACTTAAGAGAAATAGAGAAATACAGTCGCCAAGTTAATGTCCATTCAAATAATGGACTCGACTCTCTCCCCCTCTTCTCACACTACACTGCTGGCTCTTCCCTCTCTGAGAAATTTTGGGGGGGAAAACCACTAGATTTTAATAAATATTACCTCAAACTAAAGTTAGGATAATATAATTGACTGCTGGATTCCTTGTAAGACCAGGAATATTTTGAATATAAATGTCATATATTTTGCACAAAAGATAACATATTTACTCAGAGTAAACATTATATCTAAAATTTGTATGTCTAATGCAAAATCTATGTTGTTTATGTTCAAAATGATCACCAAATTGTAAGAATTCCAGCAATGTAAATTATATTCTGGCCGGGTAATTTGTATGAATTTTATGAGCTAAAACAAATATCTTCCGTTAATAAAAAAAAAATATTCTTCACAACACTATCTGTCAATCAAAGTACCCCACCTTGCCTCCCCCCCTCTTCCAACTGCGCGGTCAGTCCCAACCCTCCCCCCCACCTCCCGCCAATACTCCCTTCAAGAGATGTTGGGTGAAAAAATTAAATTTTAACATTTAGTATTAAATAATACCTCAGATTAAAGTTAGGATAATATAATTGACATTGCTGGATTCCTTGTAAGACCAGGAATATTTTGAATATAAATGTCATATACTTTGCACAAAAGATAACATATTTACTCAGAGTAAACATTACATCTAAAATTTGTATGTCTAATGCAAAATCTATGATGTTTATATTCAAAATGATCATCAAATTATAAGAATTCCAGCAATGCAAATTATATTCTGACCGGGTAATTTGTATGAATTTTATGAGCTAAAACAAATATCTTCAGTTAATAAAAAAAAAAATATTCTTCACAGGGTAACAGATGATCGGTCGGTCCCTCCCTCCCCCCCACCCCCCACCAACCGTCCCTACCAGATGTGTGGGAAAACCAGAATATTTACCTTTTTAGTAATAAATAATACCTCAAACTAAAGTTAGGATAATATAATTGACATTGCTGGATTCCTTGTAAGCCCAGGAATACTTTGAATACAAATGTCATATATTTTGCACAAAAAATAACATATTTACTCAGAGTAAACATTATATCTAAAATTTGTATGTCTAATGCAAAATCTACGATGTTTATATTCAAAATGATCATCATATTGTAAGAATTCCAGCAATGTAAATTATATTCTGGCCGGGTAATTTGTATGAATTTTATGAGCTAAAACAGGCAGTCAGGCAGGGTGGCGGGTGGGGGGTGGGGGGAATCTAAAAATAGCTCTGAGCCGGACACTCACAGCGTATACGTGGAAAAAACCCGCGTTAAGTGAAAGTTCGGCTCTGGCTTGGCACCGCGTATACGGTAAAACGCGCTAAGCGAAACCGTGTTAAGCGGGGTAATACTGTATTCCACTCACCAATGGTGGTAATGTCTAAATCTAAAACATAAGGAGAGCCAATGATGCTGTGCGAATTATTACTCAGATGATGAAATCATCAGGTTCAACTCTGGCTGAAGCTGTAGCTTTCCATAAAGATGTCATAGCTGTTGCTGAAACTGTTACTGAACCTGAAGTTGTTGCTAAAGCTGGTTATGATGCTGAATTTGATGGTGTAGCTGAAGTTGATGGTTTAGGCCTTCGAATAATAAAGCTGTTGAAAGAACCTTGCACAGCTGCTTTCTTTTCTCATTATACATCTTTTGGTAGAGGTCATTTGCATTTCTCACGTCCCTGTTAATTTTAATGCTTCATTCTGTTAATGGATCCACTTCAGAAAATACAGTAATCCCATGTTTTTCGCTGGATTTTTTATAGCAGTTTTGACCATTCGCGTTTTATTTTCTTACTAAAAAAAAAAAAAAAAAAAATATATATATATATATATATATATATATATATATATATATATATATATATATATATATATATATATATATATATATATAATATATATATATATATATATATATATATATATATATATATATATATATATATATATATATATATATATATATATATATATATATATATATATTATACTTTTTTTATATACGCGGTGCCTCTTCTTTCACTTAACGGTTTTTCCATACGGTGAGTGTCCGACACTATTTTTAGATTTTGCCCCACCCGCCACCCTGCCTGACTGCCTGTTTTAGCTCATAAAATTCATACAAATTACCCGGCCAGAATATAATTTACATTGCTGGAATTCTTACAATATGATGATCATTTTGAATATAAACATCATAGATTTTGCATTAGACATACAAATTTTAGATATAATGTTTATTCTGAGTAAATATGTTATTTTTTGTGCAAAATATATGACATTTGTATTCAAAATATTCCTGGTCTTACAAGGAATCCAGCAATGTCAATTATATTATCCTAACTTTAGTTTGAGGTATTATTTATTACTAAAAAGTTAAATATTCTGGTTTTCCCACACATCTCCTTGGGACGGTTGGTGGGGGGTGGGGGGGAGGGAGGGACCGACCGACCATCTGTTACCCTGTGAAGAATATTTTTTTTTTTATTAACTGAAGATATTTGTTTTAGCTCATAAAATTCATACAAATTACCCGGTCAGAATATAATTTACATTGCTGGAATTCTTATAATTTGATGATCATTTTGAATATAAACATCATAGATTTTGCATTAGACATACAAATTTTAGATAAAAAGTTTACTCTGAGTAGATATGTTCTCTTTTGTGCAAAATATATGACATTTATATTCAAAATATTCCTGG